ATTGATCAAATGACTAATAATTTTCCAAACCCACTGTTGCAGGAAAGTGACAGAGCTTCTGCGCACCTTTTGTGAGAGCAAGCGAATGTGCACCGATAATGTGAGGGCTCATGTACACTACTTATTTTGGTTCTATTATTCCAAATGCTCATAATGTAACATGAAGACTGTCATTGTGTGATTGTGCAGTTCTGATGGAATGTTTTGCATTCCAGGCCAACATAAAGGATCTGTCACAGATGTTAAAGAAAATGCCTCAGTATCAGAAAGAGCTGGGCATGGTGAGTGGGATGAAGCATGATAATTATTACATACGTTTTCTGTTGTAAAGGAAGGAACTGTCTTAACTGTTCATGATTGTAACTAACAAATCCTCCTGATCGAGTTGAACATAAAAATTTTCATTCACAGTACTCTACTCACCTGCACCTAGCTGAAGCCTGTATGAAGAAGTTCCAGGCCTCTCTTGATAAGCTCTGTGAAGTGGAACAGGTCAGTCACTCTGAAATTAGTCATGTTTTGACTGTCATCAACATTTTGACTCCGATCATGCTGGACACAATCAGTAATGTTATTGTAGCAACAAACAGCTCTGAGTGTTCAAAAAACATGATTGTACTGCTTTTAATTATCTTGTGGAAGCTCACTTCATTCCATGTACAATAAAATGATCTTGAATCTGTAATCATAGGTATAAATACCATTGTAATGTTGTCTTGATCTCTAAAGAGAAAGGTGCACATACATGACCAGTGGGCCATTAAACATTATTTTCTTGGAATTTCTCAGCATACACAGTCGGCCAAACAGCATGTGAGTCTGTAGTGTGTAGTTTTTATATTGCAAGGGATCAATCTGAATGCCCCACTGTTTTAATCACTGACAGTAAGTATCTTGGAGAGAATATCTGACATGGAACTACTCATCCCACTCACTCTGCTCACTAAGTGACCTCGATGTGATAGTGTCTTTATTTATAGATTCTCTAGAGTATGTTCAAATGCCACTGGCACGGTCTGGTGTTTGTGTTTTTTTTAACTTTTACGGAGAATCGTAATCGTAATATTGCATAAGAAGCTTGGGACCGGACATCAACATCCATGTATCCACAGAAATGTAGAAGAAGCTGTTGTGTCATTACTGAGTGTAAAGGCATTTAATAACTGGTACATGTTCTACATGGTAATGTCAAAATCCTTCCATCAACAAGAGCCTTCGGATAAAGCCATGGTTCAGATTGGTGCCAAGTCCTAGTGTGTCATATTTATGTGCCAGACATGCTTTGTCTCCTTCAGGGGATGTATTATACTTTATTTAGTCTGGCATCAGATGAGTCACAAGCACACAGGAAGCTGTGCATGGTTGTGGCATTATAAAATGCAAGTGTTAATGGGGCTCTTTTTGAGTAAATCACTCGACTGCACTAATGGGTTGTGAGCATGTCTGAAAGCTGCCTCTTTAATCTAGTGGCTATTTTTTGGCTCTGAGGTGGACAGTGTGAGCCAAGCAACAGCAGCTCACTCTCAGCTGTCATGTTTTTAAGTGTTCTACATTGTTTGGGCAACCCAATACAAATGTATGTGCAGCATTATAAACAAAAGGATGTGCGGTTTTTATTTGTGCTTCTCTAGTCACTCTCCAGACCCTCCATTGGCCCTAACAACAAGGCTTAGTCCAAATTTATTTTAAAGCTTAGCAAGACTTTTTAAGGAGGTCATACAGTGCCCAGGATTGCATGAAAAGGGAAATCCCCCAAAGCTAGATGTAAGTATAAAAGCCCAGGTTAAGGGGCCAATATTTTCCATTGTTTTTGACATAGTTAAAATATTACATAATGCAGGAAGTTTACAGTGCAATTTAAGAAAGTTTATTCAGGGACAAAATTGTAAATATTCAGAGATTATTAGAAAGATCTGTTTTCAGCATTTATACTGCCAGTATTAACCTTTTGAAGTGGTTTAGTAAAAGAGTTATTGTGCTATTGCTGTATTTCTACAGGTCATGAATAGAGTGAAGTTGAGAGACCAATAGTCCCATGAGTTGACTGTCAGCTGACTTGAGTTTTAAGTGCTATGTCAGATTCCAGCAGCAGTTAATAGTTAACCATGGTTGTCTTTCACAGGACCTGGCAATTGGAGCAAATGCAGACGGGGAGCCACTGAAGGATGCCATGAAATGCATCGTTCCTGTGCTTCTCAACAAAGAAATTGAAGCTTACGACAAAATCCGCATCATACTGCTGTACATATTTCACAAGAAAAAAGGTTTGCCCCTTGACACGACTCTTTCTGTTTCAACTAATATAGAAATTTATAACCTGCATTTTTTTGTGCGTTGAAGGGAACGTGTGTGTTTGTATTCCTTGAAAATCCGTGAATAGAGAATCGAGTGTCTTCATTGCCCTCTTCATTTTTTGCTGGACTGCAACAGTGGGGCCCGCTCTAGTATTGTGAATGTCCCTGAATGAGTAATATATTGGCAGAGTGTTGGACTTTTAGTTCAATATTCCATTTCTCACACCGATAAACAGTTAAACCATGTACTAGGTTTTTACCAAGCCTAGTTGGATAAAGAATCTGGTTATCCATGTAGGCATCGCGGAGGAGAACCTGGCAAAGCTCATCCAGCATGCTAACATACAGGCCGACAGCAACATCATAACCAACCTGCAGAACCTGGGCTGTAACATTATAGCTGGGGTAAGTTTCTTGATTGCAATAGCTATAGTCTCAATGTTGTTTACTCTAAATTATTATATGGGATATGTTGTTTGTCAGGGTCGCAATGCTGGGAAAACGCTGCCAGAGCGGAAGGAGCGCAAAGAAAGCACCTACCAGCTCTCTAGATGGACACCCATCCTTAAAGAAGTCATGGAGGTATAACAGCTAAAATTAGGTGTCAGGTGTTGGTGGCACACTTGCGCAGTTTTGCTTTCAGCTTCTGAGAACATCTGTGTTTCTGTATTGCAGAATGCCATAGAGGACAAACTGGACAGAAAGCAATGGCCATTCATTTCTGATCCTGCTCCCATCAATACAACTCAGACTGCAGTCAGGTGGGTGAAACAAAAGAACATTTTTATCACGTATATGAGCTGCAGATGCTTAAGTGTAGGAAAGTTCAGGATATAAAAGCAAGTAGATGATTTATGAGTAATAAACATTATTTAAAAGGAAGAATATCAGCTGAGAAAAAAAATATAATGTTCAAATGAAACTGTTTGGAAAAATTGTCAATTTAGCTTTTTTTTTACCAACACAAATATAAACAGGATGCAGACAGATTAATGTCAAAGAAAGGTTTTATCCCTGTAACGTAGTTGGAGCTCCATCTCATATTTGACAAAGCAGGTTGGAGGTGAAAAGGTGAAATTAAGCCAGTTTTGCTTTAAATAGTCTTTAATCCCTCAGGGAATACCCAGCATGATGATGGTGCTTATACCAACCACACTGATGGACCTGGGTTCAGTTATAATCTGTATAATGCAGAATATCTCCTTCCTTTCAGCAAAGTGCAGAATTAAAGCTGAGTGGTCATTACTATTAACACTAGAATATAGTCTAGCAACAGCACACAGGACTGGAAACACATATGAAACCGGAAATGGACATAGGTTTTAAACAAAGCATAGCAATAAGACAATATACTTAAAGGTACAGTGTGTAGAATTTTGTTATATCTAGTGTTGAAATTGAATGTTGCAGCTGAACACCCCTCACCTCACCCTCTCCTTCCAAACATGAAAAAGAACCTGTGGTGAACTTCAGTTGTCTTAAAAACTCAAAAGGTGTTTCATTTGTCCAGTCTGGACTACTGTAAAAAACATGGCGGCCTCCACAGAGAGGGTCCCCTCGATGTAAATATAAAGTACACTCAAGAAAACTACAATTCATACAATTTAGATGAAACGAACTAGTGCAAATATCATTATTCTACATTCAATTCAATAGTTCCCTTTCACCTAAATCTTACACACTGGACCTTTAAATAAAGTTCATCTCCAGACTTGGAAAAAAAGTTATTGCATAACATAGTAGTTGCTGTTATTGAATCTCTGTTAAGTACTAAGACTGGCTGCTCACAAACAGGTTTTGTTTTAGTAAGAATTACTATTTGCTCATTTATTGTTTTAATTCATTCACAGCAGTGCACGTTTTGGACACTGGCACAAAAATAAGTCTCCAACAGAATATCGCTCTGGCCCTCGACTCATTATTTTTGTGATTGGCGGGGTGTCCCACTCAGAGATGCGCTCTGCTTATGAAGTCACTCGCGCCACTGAGGGGAAATGGGAAGTGTTGATCGGTAAGCAAAAGTTGTTTAAAAGGCTGTGATTCTCGTATCTGCCTCCAGAAATTCAGCATTCACTATGATTTTCTTTTTTCAAATGTATTCATCCCTCTCTTCTTAACAGGGTCCTCTCACATCCTGACTCCAACCAGCTTCCTCAATGACCTCAAGAATCTGGACCAAGTTCCTAATCCTGATTGTTAGATAGTGAAACACTGAACAGGGAGGAGCACACTGGAACAAGGGTTTAGTCTTTTATTTCAGATTATCGGGTCATCTGACGTGAAATATGAAGAGAAATTTTAGATGTAGCCATGGAGGGAAACATTTGTGAATCATAATTTTATTTTAGAGCGTTATTTTTATCATTTATTTGTGGGATCTGTACACTGTTGTGATTGATACTGTATTAAAATATTTAATAGGATTGCTAATATTTTGATTATTGTACTATGCTCATTCAAAATCTTATTTTTGTTACTGTTATATTTGATTTTCCTGATTTTGTACTGAAAATTTATATAATTTCCACAAAACTGGATCCTCTCCAACCAAAATTCTTATTCAACTTCATGTACATAAGTCAATGGATGTTTGCATTGTTAATTTAGTGACATTCATTTTGTGAAAGCTCTCCCCCTTCCTCTTGGAAATCGAATCTCAGACAAAATGTCTCAACTGCTGTCGTATGATATCTTGCACATTCATAATATGCTTATATATATATTCCTGGGAGCAAGTGTGGTGGGTGTTTGTTTCTTTGTTGTTAAAAATGAGTTATTAAAGAAACATAAGATTCACTCTAATTCATTTCTTGTGTGTAGTGTTTCAGAGGACTTTGAAAAGGCTTAAAAAGGTGATAAATATGTAAAAAAACCATAGTAATGTAACCACCATAGTAAATTCTCGTTTTCTTGCCCTTGACAGAATATATTCACAACTATATTCAATTCACCTAAACGTTCATGTATCTGATTATTTTATATAAATATATTCAATTTTACCCTCACTCACTTTGATCAATATGTATTTGGATTTTTTTTAAAGAAATGTGAAATAATATTAATATATAAAGTAATACCTGCATGCTTCAATATTATTTTCACTTTTTTCTTGAATACATTAGTTCTTTTTAGTTTGACCCTGCATCGGCTGAAATGAACTCACAGTGCAAATGTAAAAATATCCATCCCTTAGTTTTCCTTCGTTCACCTTTTAATGAGAGCGAGGGAGACTCACAGAAACAAAGTTTAAGTAAAGTGTTTGCCCATAACGCAGCGCATGTATACCGACCTATCAGTGTAAAAGATGATCCCCTCCATGCTGAGGATTATGTTTTCATCTGGGATTACAGATGGTGATATTAACAACGACGCACCGGCTGGGGTCTTAATGGCAATGGGTTAATACTCAGCACTTAAGTCTATTTAAAAGCCTTCAGCCAAGCCACATCCAGAACACATTTGGAGCAGCATCGATTTGGATCACAGATGCCAATGCGTACATAGACAGTAGTTCTGATCAAGACGTAGTGAATGGATTCTCCACTGATGACAGGAAATACTGTTGTGTAACTTTCTCAGTTCATATAGTTTTCATTCAGGAGCCTTTTTCCATTTTTTTGTATAATTTTCCATAATGGCAGCTGCTGAAATGAACTCGAATGCAGAAGCTACCAACAACGTGCTGGTAGGTCCTCTGTAACATAACATTGTTATCTTGAATTTCTTGAAGCATTGATTGTTTTAAATAGATAATTGTTTCTAAATTCTAGTAATTAGTCAAAAAAAGGAAATTAATTATGTTGTATTTATGCTTTTCCTGCAATTTGTTGATAGTTTAGTTTCTATAATCTTTATGTTACATTCATGTTTTGGATTGATGTCCAGAGTTTATCTGTGATGGAGTGTTTAGAAAGGAATTGTTTTCCTGTGATGATTTATATTGGACAATTTATATTGTGGCTTATTCACAATGGTTTGGAACAACAGATTAATTTGTCAAGGAAACACAGCTTTGTCTATAAAGTGCTTGTACTTACATTATTTCATTCTTTGCTAAATCTTTTGTCAAACATTCAACAGAAATCTCCAGAACAGGAGCAGTTCCTCAACATCATGAGTCATTCGCAGCGTGGACGAATGGATGAACAACGCTGCTCCTTGAGTCCGGTTAAAACTGCACAAATCAAAACTTCACCTGCTGGTAGAAAGAATAGATGCATAGATATTATCTGCATTGTATGTATTCTTTTGTACATTGATTGTTGATATTTTCTTCCCTGTCCTCACAGGTTCAAACCATAAGGAGTCCTCCCATACCCTGGGCAACAAGCAGGGACGATGCCTTGATGACATGAAGGTTTCATTGTCGGGACAGGTACCAGGCTATATGTTATCAAAGCGCTGAGTGTACGTACCCGCACAGATGGTGGGATGAATAAATAACTTCCCCAAAATTTGACTTGTTTCCTTAGAAACCTTTGAGTGACCATCCCGACTTTAGACCTCACATCTCTGTGACCGAGAGTACTCCAGATAGACACAGGAAACTTCAGTCACCAGTCGACCAATTAGATGTTCCCCCTCAGCGCGACCGCTCCAATACCATTAAGGTCTGTTCTACCCTTCAGTGTTATTCAAACAGCTTTAATTACTACAGACGTCTCCTGTTCAATTTGATATATAATTAAATGTTCATCCTCATTGGTCAAATCGTTATCACGCTGTTTGTGTCCAATAGTCAGAATCACCGGATGAGCAGGTTAAGTTCATGAGTATGATCAGCCATGGACAGCGAGGGCGCATGGACGACCAGCGCTGTTCCTTGAACCCCAGCAAGAGTGCTCCCTGCACCCCCCAAAACACAGAGAGAAAGCTTGCAAGTTCATCAAACACAGGTGAAGGACTGCGTCTTACTTACCATTTCCCCCATACAGATCCATGTTCAGACAAGTTGCCTTTTCATTTTTAAAGGTAATCATCCACATATTACTGATTCACTTGTTTTCCTCTTCACCAGGTCCAGATTCTGAAACGTTCTTCAATCTCTTGGCCAACACCCAAAGCAATCGGCTTGATGACCAGCGAGTGTCTCTACAGCCGTTACCGGGATTACAGAAAGAAAAGATCGCATCTACCGCTGCAGGAGATTCAAGCCACTTGTGTTACATGGTCTCTAAAGTCCAGGTTTGTCATTTTTATTTTCAGAACAAAAAAACAGCAATTGATGTTGTCAATGCTGCACAAATATGTTAGTTGTGTTGATGTTGGTGCTACAAAGCCATGTCTTAAATAGCCTTTACTTAACAAAGCAGTGAGGTTTCTCGGATGTGCATCACTTCAAGGTTCTCATGGAAACATATAAGAATAAACATGTTATTATCTTTAGAACCATTCACATCAAGTTATTATGTAATTTGGATGAGACCATCATTGAATGATAATTTAATAATTGTCTTTGGGATTTTTTACGATAAGAAAAGAGCAGAAATGCTAAAAAGATCATGATTCTAATATATTTTCAGGGTTCCAGAATAGATGACCAAAGATGCTCACTACCTCAAATCATCAAGCCAGAAAGCAAGTCTTCTCCAGACAAGGACATGTCTAGTTCTGGTTCAGGTCCTCCACGCTCAGCCTCTTTCAGCCCCGGTTCAGACGTAGAACGACAAAAGAGTAAAGATAAAGCATCTCAAAAACAGGTAGATCCAGGAGAGAAATTATATCAAATCACAACATCGACGTTTGAAAACAATAAGGCAAAATGTTTGCAATCTGAATGTTCATTTGTCTTTGCATGTTTTTTTTCACATCTAGGTCTTGACTGGAGCTGAACAGGATGATTTTTTTAACTTAATGAGTAATTTCCAGCGTGGACGAATGGATGAGCAGCGATGTGTCTTAAATGCTAGTCCACTGTCCACACCCAAACACAAGCCCAGCCAGAGCACCGTGCCCACAGGTTAGAGTCCAAACATGTTTGCCTTTCTGTGTTTTAAATGTTCGTATTAATAGTAATAGTAATGCTTTATATTTGTGCTGATGTAACTAAACATTTCTTTTCACCTTCCCAGGTCCAGATTCTGAAAAGTTTTTCAAAATGCTGGCCAACTCTCAAGGCCGACGGCTTGATGATCAGCGAGTGTCTCTTCTTTCATTGCCAGGGATACAAAATGGGGGTAGCAACTCAACATCAAATGCTGCAGAGAGGGATGCAAGCCACTTGTGTTACATGGTCTCCAAAGTCCAGGTTGGCCTCCTACTTCATGTGATGTAAAAAACATTGATTTAATTTAGTCCCACAATGTGTTCATAAGTTTCGTGCATCTACAGAATATGTTTAAAAATAAGCCCAACCACTTTGATCCATCATTACAACAGTGAGTTGTCTTTTACTGCCACAGGGGTCAAGGATGGATGAACAGCGATGCTCTGCACCTCAGAATCTTGGGACCCCATCTACACAGCACAAAGATTGTCCCAAATCAGACACATCTGATAAAACTCTGCAGCGGTCTGATTCATTAAGCCGTGCCAAAACCGCCCAAGATCAGCAGGTGAGATGCTGCTCAATACAAAGCTTATAGTTTGGAACCCTTCCACTGTCATGATCCAGTCTTCTTTTTACTAAGGCCACGTCCACACTAATACACTTTAGTTTTAAAAACACATCACCTGGCGTCCACACAACTCTAGAATTATCGAGCCCCTAAAAGGAAGAGTTTTGGAAACACTGCTGGCCCTGGGTTGTGTTCTAGTATGGATGTCAGAGACTTTTGGAAATGATGACGCAGACGCACACGTTTCCAGATAGATTCCGATCAGTCACAACAGGAATGAATGCAGCATGGATAGCAAGTTACAGTTGTAGCTAACACTGTCCCTTAAAGTTCCACCTTGTCATAACATTAAATGACACATGATAGATGGAGGACATTTTGAAGAACAAATGTTATTTCATGCTGCCCTCTTGATCATTTTACTTGTGTGTTGTACCACCGCTCATGTCTTTTTTCTTTCTCTAAATGTTTTAGGAGGCCTGTCCCGCTGAGCAGGACAAGTTTCTCAAAATGATTAGTCATGCCCAAAGAGGACGTATGGATGAGCAGCGTTGCTCTTTACAACCGAGCAGAAGCACACCTGCCACACCCACACACAGTGGAAGTGCTTTAAATAATGTTCCAACAGGTCAGAAACGACGCACAAGGCACGTGGGTCAATAATGTGTTTTCTGCCAGTTACACATCACAGAAATAACTCTTGACTCTTTGCAACAGGTGCAGATGCTGATGCATTCTTCAAAATCATTTCCTCCAGTCAGGGGCGACGGCTAGACGATCAACGTGTTTCCCTTCCTCGCCTGCCGGGGATAAGTGGGAACTCTGAACGAAAAGAAAGTACGGTAAGGTTGAAATCCCAGTAAGTTACACCACATTTAATTATTGGTGGTGTGGGAGTATTATTGCCAAATGTTGCTAAATTGCTCATTGTCATTTTTATGTCACTCTTCCACGAAGTGATACATTCCTTTGACAAACAAAACTCGAACTCATGGCAGAAACATCATATTTGGCCACAGATTGGAATAGTTCATCATTTTTTGGAGCATCTTTAGGGCTTGATTACATGGATCTCAACTCTAGAACTATGGGCACACATCAGTATTGCCTGTATAGAAGAAAAGCATGCTAACATAACAATATTTGCCTAATAATTAGCCTTGTACCCACAATAACCTCAAAAGCAGTGATTAAATAAGTCACAGCTATTAAAATGAAAAACTTGGCAGCTCAAGTGCCTCATTT